CCCAAGATGAAAAGATTTTTTTTTCTTTTTGTCCAATTTCAGCAAACATTCACTGAACCCATTAACTATGGGCAAAGCCCTCTACCCGAGGCTCCTGGGAGACTACTTCTTTACTCCTCAAAGAGAGCTGGAACCTGGTCATAAGCTTCAGTTACAGGAATTCAGTAAGCAAGACAGAAATGGGAACTCATTACTCAGCCATCAGAGAAGATGAATACCCAACTTTTACATCAACATGGATGGGACTGGAGGAGATTATGCCAAGTGAAATAAGTCAACCAGAGAAAGTCAGTTATCATATGGTTTCACTTATCTGTGAAACATAAGGAACAGCATGGAGGACATTAGGAGAAGGAAGGGAAAAATGAAGGAGGGGGAATCGGAGGGAGAGACGAACCATGAGAGACTATGGAGAAACAAACTGAGGGTTCCAGGGGGGAGAGGGGAGGGGGGATGGGTTAGCCCGGTGATGGGTATTAAGGAGGGCACATTCTGCATGGAGCACTGGGTGTTATACGCAAACAACGGATCGTGGATCACCACATCAAAAACTAATGATGTATTGTATGGTGACTAACATAACATAATAAAATTTAAAAAAAAGAAAAAGAAAAAAGAAATGGGAACTCAGTCAAGCAGGGTTTAAAATGGATCCTCCTAGTAGGCAAACGTTTAGTAAATGCTTATTGAATAAATTAATGGAAAAATTCACACTAAATTAAACACTAAATGCCCTTCTATCTTAATTGAAGACCAACAGCAATGTGGTAGAGAGGATGGACTTCAAGGATAGAGTTAAACTGCTCAGGCTGAGACAGCCACCCCACCATGTTCATGTTACATCGAGCAGGATACTTAATATGCCCGGTCTTCTCATCTCTGTAATGGTGCTGTTAATGGAAGCTGTTTTGTAGGTTGCTGAAAGGATTAAATAATCAATATATAGAAAGGAGTTAAAAGAGTTCTGGCTCATAATAATCACTCCACCAATGTTAGTTACCATTATTATTACTTTTGGCTAAAACATAACAAAGGTCCTTGGAGAGGCACTTAAAGACCAAATTGGTTTTAAGCACATCCACTACAACAATATTTACTATCGTAGTGTTGTAATTTTCCTGGTTTTGCCTACTCAACCACTTTCCCACCCTATTCTCAAGTATCTCTTGTGCTTTCCTTTAAGGAATCATCCTTTCCAACCCTTAGTCCCTATAGGTTCCAGGGCCGGGTACCCCATCCAGATATGGAGGAAGGAAAACAAGGGTTGGTTCAGGAATGGGGACATGACCCAAGCTGTGCCACTGATATTCAGACTGGCACTTTGCTGGGACTAACAATAATGAAGTAATCAGAAAGTGAACCTGGAGCTGCTGGTGGGGAAGAAAACAGAGCCCAGCAACAGAGAGAGATGAAGTTCCTAATCACATCATGTGACTTCTAATAAATTCCATTTTCAGCTTCATTTGGTTTGAGTGTGGCTTTGGTACTACAACCCAAAGTGTCCTGAGTAATAAGATCAGAACCAATCACTGTAAAGGTGAAAGCCTATGATATTAAGTTATCATCTCCTTAAGTCCTGTGTGGGCTTCAAGGTATCATTGTAAAAGGACTAGTTTACACCAGGAATTTTTCTCCGAATGAAAATGAAGATTCTTTGTGGGGTTATCAGAGAACCATAGTCTCTCTACATATGGTGGCCAGGAAGCAGGGAATATAAAACCCCAGAAAAGTGCCCCTCCGACTTTCACACATCTGAAGTTCCTTGAGGGGCTTGTAGAAAAGGCAGGTTCAGAGGCTCCGCCCAGAAATTCTACAGCAGGTCTAGTAATCTGCGTTTCTCATGAATACCACCGGAGGGCTGACAGTTCACAGAAGCTGGTAGTCCACTTTGAGAAACACTACCCGAGAGGGCCCAATTTTGTTTAGATATTGTAGGCAAATCTAGAGTACACAAACCCAGCTGGGAAGGAATCCCCAGAAAGCTGCGAAATGAAGAAATTCTCATAATTATTTCAGGAACTAAAACAACTTCAAAGACTGAGTCTGAGTTGAAGTACTAATTCTGAAGCAAATATTGGCAAATTTGGAAGTGTCTCAGCTCTAAAACCGGAAGAGCAGAAGCATTATATCCAGTTCTTTCTGTGGCTAGTTTCTATTAAGAAAAAAAAAAGAGGAAGTGGTGTAGAGTAAAAACAATAATCTAAAAATTGATTTCATGCTTATGGTTTTATCAATTTCATTACAATAAACTATAGTAACTGCAGTAGATCACTGCAAACAATTAACAAAGACGACCTTTGAGAATTCATCTCCGTTTTTAACAGAGCAGCTATAATGAGCACAATTATAATAATTGGTAAGAAGCTTTTGCAGCATTTCATAATACACAAAAGACAACATGGCAAAATGAAATAGATTGTTTTCCGAGGCTACCACACAAATTTCACAAAGGAAATCTTATGCTGACTGTAATGTGTAAGGGGGTGACACAAAAGTCATTTGATGCTGTATCAGACAACATGGGAAATAGAAAACTATCTCCTGATGTGATGTTCATATTTATCTTTGTTAAGGGTCAGTGAGTACAAAATAGTCAGTGATGTGCGTAAATCAGGGAAACTACCCAGCCCTTTCAACAAGGGTTCCCTAAGAAAATCAAGTCCAAGTACCATAAAGCATCCACTGTATGCAGTGGACTGACTCTCCTATGTACTGGCAACAGCCTTGGCTCTGTACCATCCTCTGGAGGATTGAGAAAAGAGTCTCTCTGCAGAGCTTCGCTCTCTTTTGGAACCCAGTTTAGAAAGGCTAATTGATACTCTTTAAACCGAAAATACATATGCTGGGATAAATAGCTGCGTTGATTCCAAAGCAAGGTGGTCTAACAATAGTAAGTGATTCTTGAAGCAACTTAAAGTCTCAAAAATAGAACCAGAAACTATGACAGTAATATTCAGTGCTCTCAAGTCCTACTTTATGCATCAACATACAACTTTGAGCACTGAGATTAATGATGTCAGTGGAAATCACTATATTCCACAGAACCGCACAACAGAACTTTATAGCATGAATGTCTTGGAATGTCCAAACCCAGTAACTGTTAAATTGCCAAGTGTATCACATTATGTGGAGATCTTATACAATCCAAGGAAAATAGAGTATTATGACTTTGGCAGAACTGCAAAATAAATTCTGATTTGTTTTGTGGTAAAAACTTTGTAAAAGGTTTTCATATTTATAATGGGTTTCTGCGTAGAGATTGATAGTACCTGATCTTGATTTTTTTGTGTCAGATCTGCTAACTGATCACACCAATATCCATTCTCCCTCCACGTCTAACAGAAAGCAGATTTTTAACTGCACCTATTGGGAGAATAAAAGACTGTATTTCCCGGTTTCCTTTGCAGCTAGGTATAGCCAATGACAGCAGAAGTTAAATAGAAATGTTGTATACAAGTAGGAAAGATTTTAGTGGAAGGAGCTCTTTTCTGTACCCTTCTGCTTCCACCCACTCTCTCCCCTTTTCTTGCTACCGAAGAATGTGATCCATGGAAATCTGACAACCACCTTCAGCTTTGAGTGTGGAAGCCACTCCACCACATTGTTGCCATACATCCCTGGGCTATAGATTCCAGACTCCCTTAACATGAGAGAGCAAGACACTTCCTTCGTGCTTGAGCCTTTGTGATTTTGCGTTTTCTGTTTCAAGTGGCAGAACCTAAATGTAATTAATAAAATATACATGCAGTTTCTTATTCAGTAAAGGCCAGGTGAATTAATAAACTAATAGGGATCAAATATTTGAACTGGTTTGCAACCTCTGAAATTTGAATAATGTATTTATTTGTATTTATAGATCAAAATGTATTTACTGTATTCATTTATCAAATACAAATAAAAGGAAGTAGTACTTTAGTGCCAATAAATATGGGAATAATTTTTTGCTGGTGAAGAATATATATAATTTAAAGACAAATTCAGATCAATAATAAGTAAGGAAAGGAAGTCAGTACAATGTGTGGTATAAATGAACATTAGTGAAATTAGTATTATGGGAGACAGGGTACCATATAATATATACTTATCAAAGGTAACAGACTGGGCCAGAAAAGACATGGACTGAAATCTGACAAGCAGATATATTGTGTGCCTTTTTTAATCTGTATGTTGGTTCTTGATATCTTTGTGTGATTCATTCATTCTATGTCTATTTACATTGAATAAACCACTTCCGGGCTGAATGGAAGACTTTGGTCTTTTAGCTTTTATGTACGGCAGGTAGACATCTTAGAAAAATCCCCAGAACAACAGAAAATTATTAACATGCTTTTGATGTCCAGTGAGTCCTTTCAAGTCTCATTTTTGCTCTATACTCTCAAAAAGGCATTAAAATATTTTAAATAGATCTAGCAAAAAGGATTGAAAGCATGAGATTTTATTTAAAATAAAGTCTATTCCTCAGATTGCTTTTGATCATCCAGGCAGAAATTTTATTTCAGTGTTGTTCCATAATAATAAGAATTTTTGGTTGTTGGGATTATTTGGCCAATATTTTGGAGGAGGGAAAATATTCATGTGAAATAGCCTAATCAAACTGCAGTAGCTACCCAAACTTTATCTACTCCAGTATTAGGTTGACCTTTGGGAAAACTGCTAAGACCCATGTCTTCTGTGTAATCTCAGTATTATTCTTTTAATACCTTCAAATCCGTGTTCTGTCTTCATATGCAAATATCCATGGTTGTGTTTATGTAAATTTTCAACACACATTATTCACTCTAACTACATAAGGCAGTGGGTAGGTATCTAATTTAATTAGAGTGATTTATCCATGGTCTTCTCGGTCAGCTGTTCGATACTCTTAATTGCTTTATGTTAAGCTCAGTGGGGAAAGACCTTAGATGTTTAAGAAGATTCTATTCCTGAAAAATGATTTTTTATCACTAGTTTCTCTATCACAAATATATAGCTACTGAGATGGCAAGATAAAGATACGTTACCCCTGTGACATCCATAACCTTAATGGCTGCAAGCTGGCCCGTTTTAACATGACGACCCTGTAAAGAAAAAAAAATAATAAAAGACTTCAGTTGTGATAAGCAATGTCCACATCCAGTTCCACCTATAGAGATCAATTACCTAGATCACTGTTACAGAATACAGTTGGGGAAAACGGACACACACACACACACACACACACACACACACGCACATCTTAGATGCTTCAAGGATCAATTTCCATTTAGTGTCTACTTTGTAAAACATCTGCATCACTTTGTTTTTGGGTTTGTTTTCATAGCGATTGTTAAGTTAACCAAAAAAAGGCAATGTTGAATAATTTGGTTCTATCTTCTCTCCGAGGTGGTAAGTAAGGGCATGTGTGGGAGGAAGGGGAGGTTGGCCTGCGTGGAGGAGACATAAGTATCCCCTTTGTCAGGAAATACTCGGTATGTGAAGAAACTTTAGTTTCCTGGATTATGAAAATATGTTGGATTGTAACAGTCTCAACTGGATAGTATTCTGCTCTTACTTGAGATCGTAAACGTATCTTTATCTTAAAAGTGAGCCTAAAATAAAACAGATAGTACTAAGTCCAAATTTGTGATCAAAGAGGCAGCATTGAGCGTAAGCAACCACTTGCCCAAAGCAGGCCTCTTTGGTCTTTGGACCACAGAGTGGCAACCACACAGAAGCAGAAGAGATTGGGGTGTGGTGAGAGGGCAACCCCAGAACAGAAGCTTTCTCTACACTTGCTCCTTGAGAAACTTAAAGTCTACATCCAACTCTCAGATGGTAGCAAGGATGGTCAATATGCATTACTTCTATATGCATTTTATACGTGGCTTCTAAAATACATTTCAACTATGACTGCTACCAGGCAGTATTATACTACCTCCAAGATCAGCTGGATTCAAATGCCAGCTGCATGACCTTAGACCAGTCCCCTAAACTTCCCTAACCTCTAGGCTTCAGTTTCTTCATCTGAAAATGGAGACCATGGTACCTGACTCCTGGTATGGCAGTGAGGACTAAATGTGATAACGTAGATACAGTGTGTGATGGTGCCTGGCACTTGGGAGCTGTCCGCAGATGCGGCCTATGATTAGTTATGACCCTGTCTTGCGATTAATGTTAAATACTGTCTTTCCTTCCAGGCTATATGTTTCATGAAGTCCAGGGCTATGTCTCATCGTTGTATTCCCAGTGCCCAGAGTGGTGGGTGCCCACCCCACAGCCGGAGTGGCATGGTCATGGATGAAAACAGCAGGTGATGGAGGTATGGATGCTTGTATTTGGGAAGAGGGGATAGGTTAGGTGCTGTCTATCCCTTTCCTTCTCATCTCTCTCAGCTTTTTACACCTATTTACTCTGATTCTGGTAGCACTTCCTTCACTTTTCGACCTCCCATTCTGCTCCCTCCTTTTCCTCCTTGGTCAGGAAAGAGCTAAAAGAAGGAGGCATCAACTGGGTAAGCAATATGGTCACGGGCACAACCCCTCCTACCTATTTCAACTTTCAGACAGTATGGGAAGGGCCTGGAGTGTTACCGTACAGAACCCCGGACTGGCATTCCAGAGGCCTGGCTCTTGTGCAGGTTCTGCTCATGACCAGCAGGTTCATCCGGGACAAGTGATGTAACCCATCTGGGCCCAGTTTCCCTGTCTGCAGAATATGGGGGAAAAGGGCTCAGTGGTTGGGGGAGGAGGAGCGAGGGGAGGGGGGGAAGGTATCATTGTTACTGCCACCCCTTTCCACCCCAAGGAGCATTTGGAAATGCAATTTTCACAATGAGTGGGAAGAGTAGTGCTACCACAGTTCAGTGTCCAGGAATACTAACTTCCTGCAGAGTTACTGTCACATCAGGGAGAAGTCACAACAGTGCCCTCTGTTGATAAATACTGAATGGCCTCCCGAGTTGTCCAGGTCCCAGTAAGAGTCTAGGATGCTATAACGATGACCTTAGCAAAGGAATCAGCAGCTTTTCTGTGGGAATACAGTTGTCTCTTGAACAATGCAAGGGTTAGGGGTGCCGACCCCTGTGCCGTCAAAAATCCATGTGTAACTTTTGACTCCTCAAAAGCTTAACTACTACTAGTCTACTAGTGACCAAAAGTCTTACCAATAACATAAAACAGTTGACTAACCTATGCCTTGTATGTTGTAGGTCTTATATACTGTATTCTTACAATAAAGTAAGCTAGAGAAAAGAAAATGTTATTAAGAAGATCATAAGGGAGCGAAAATACACTTACACTATGTACTGTAAAAAATCTGCATCTAAGTGGACATATGCAGTTCAAACTCGTGCTGTTCAGGGGTCAACTGTATCAACGTAAGGGCCAGCAATCATACCTTAACCTTCCAATGTAAGGGCCAGCAATCATACCTTAAACAATGGCTGCTTCTCTACTAAAGCACTAAGGGAGGGGAGGGAAACTGAAGACAAATACAGAGCATCTGGTCAGTATCCTATAGCCCATTCAACTTGCAGTTCTGCTAAGGGTGCCATACAGCCAGGTGAAGGAAAACACCTGCTTATACAGCCACCTGAGACCCGACCCTCCACCTGCCATACCACCTTGAGAGGTTCCCATCTGCTTTTATTCTGGGATCCTTGAGACGAAACTGTTTGTGTTCTCTACATGTACTATTTTGTTTCTTCTCTCTCTGGTAATGTGTTTTCTTGGCCTAAGACACCCTTCCCCTCCTGAATCCCCAGTGAAGTTACTCACTCCTCTTAGATTCAACTCAAGTACCCAAAAAGAAAAATAAATCTTAAATGGAATCCTCCTGGTTCAAGCAGGGGCTTGACCAGCAAAGTCTGATCTACTCTGACCGCCACCTCTTTCTCTTCCTCTGTGGGAGCCCCTGAGGCGCCTCTATCAACACACAATTTGAGAAACACTACACTTAATCTTTAACTCCTTGAGAAACAGGGAATCCTCTCGGAATGCATAATTTGTTACAAGGACACGTCAACACCTAGTTCTTTCCACCAGCAGCCTGGGAGCCCAGCACATCTAGCCCTTGGCCCAGGCCTAAGGCCAGGGAGCAGACAGAATACCAGCAATCCCCTTCTTATTTCGAACACAAGGCATGGGGCAGTTCTTGGTTTGAAAGAAATAAATTAAATACCTGCTACTTTTTTGAATGTAGGGTATGGTGTTGTTTTTGTCTTTGTTTTTATTCTAGTAACTGCTTTAATGTCATTGAAGGCAACACAGAGAAAGAAAATAACCTACTTCCCTCCCATTTTCAATTTCACTCCCAAGCTGAAGAACAGTTCTGGATGGCTCTGACAGATGACTGAATAATACACCTCAGGGTGGCAGTTGGGCTTAAATGAGGTCCTGGAGATGCAACTATTAGCAGCCTCAGCTCAGTCCCAGGCAAAGACATCCCCACACTCTGGAATAGGAAGGTTGCTGAGCTGTCAGCCTTTGATAGAGGAGAACCACAAAGGAGGCCTCCTGGCATGAGGGGCCTTTTACATCACTGGAGAATGTCAACGCAAATTAGGACCCAGATTAAGGCTGACTTTGAGGGACTAGCCGGGGGTCCGCTGACCTAAAAGATCACTAGGAACCTGAGGCACAGGCATTGTTAGGACAGTGTTGAAAGAGGCAACTTCATAAAACCACAAATAAATTGAGGAGGAAGAGCCCCTAAGGTGCCTAATCCAATACCCTTTTAGAGATGAGGCCAAAATCTCACAGTTAATGAGAACCTACACGCAGGACACTTTCTCCTCTCTCCCACTTCAGCCATCCAGCTCCTGAATTAAAACTTCTCATCGTGAAGATTTTAAGAAATTTTTAAACAAACCTTCTTTTTATATTTTACTTCACTGGGGAGTTAAACATTGAACCATTCATCTCTGTTTCAGGTAGGATTTAAAAAAAATTTTTTTTTTATTTGAGGGCAAGGCAACATGGGAAGATGTTTTTATTACAGGAGAATTTTAAAGTGAAAATTTAATGTTACTCCTAATTTTAATTTATTTCCATTTATGAAGTAATGAAAAATATAAACAGGGATTCCATCTAAATTTGAATCTAAAATACATATTCAGCCAAGGACAAAAAAAAATTTTAATTCTGGGGAGAAAAAAAGACTTTAAAGGGAGACAAAAGGGTTGAATTTTTTTTTCTCCACAAAAATTAGAAAAAATATCTTGTTGGACTGCAGTTGCTGAGTCATTTTTTAATAAAAGAAGGAAGGTTTTTTAAAATTTTTTTTCCTGAAGTAACAACAATAACAAAAATAAAAGTCTAAATCTAGACTAAAAAGCATAATTGGTGTTCCAGTAGGACCCAAAGCCTATTGTCAATCATGTCCTCAAGCATAACAAGCAGGCTCACAAGGAAGGAGGAAGAATGGGCATCAAATCGAGGAGAGCCCACCAAGGGTGTGGGGTCACTCAGAACTGGGGAGTGCGGTCTGGCCCCCTCCTCAGACACACATCCAGACACATGCTGCTCCCCTTCTTCCTTTCTTCTACCTCACACCTGAGGTTAAAAATATATGTATATGCTGATTCTCATTCTTTACAAAATAACTCAACACTGCAATGAAATCTAAATCACTCAAAGATTATAGTACTCTACCCCCGTTACCTCCTCCCTAAAATGAATGCAAAAGAAAAACAATGGTTTTGTCTGAAATAGCCATGTAAAAGTCTTGGCTCTGTTATTGCTGTTCTTTTCTAAGGAACAGCAAGATGGCTTTAGAGCCGCTAGCCTGAGGCTAGCCTGGAAGAAAGCGTACTTTCATTTCTAGGTCACTGAAATACATTTGTTTCCAGCAGAGCACAGGAGCAAACTGGGTTTATGGAAAATGCACACACTCTACCTGCTATTTCCTTCCCTGCTGTCCAAGGACTCACACGCAGGTAGAATGTTTTTAGCATCTCGTGTTTAGCTTAGATTAGATCTCACCTTTATTGAGGAAGACTTCTTCACTTTCCTAATAGCGAGCAAGTGCCCTACCTTTGTGTTTCTACAGCATCCTACACGAACCCTACTGATCATATCCGATGCTGTGATTTTCAACATGT